TTTAACCAATTTGGAACACTATAACTCTAGTTACATGAACGAGCCAGAACTTAATAAATTATTATTGCATAGAATAAAGTCTATTTGTAAAGATTTAAATTTAAAAATTAAAGGTGTTAATATTCGAAGTAATATGTTCTTATTATTGCAAAGTTTTAAACGCTAGTGTAAAAAAAATTGCTTGAGATACCAGCATATGAAAGTGCTTACTGCACACTTTCGTTATTGTTTGAGGGTGAAGCATCAATATGCATAGCACAACGATTCGATGCAATTATTTTTCATGTGCAGAAAGGTACAAACCCAAAAAAAGAAAAGGGGTTAAAAAATAAACATTTAACCATAGATTGTCAAATTTCCTAGGACAGCAAAATACATTACGCCACTTATACCACTACAAATGATACTTACTGTTAAAATTATCCGATTCTTTAATTATGTAATTATTTTGAATATCATACGTACTACAAATATGGATGTTGCTAACTTGCCCCCGTTTAAATCACACATTACACAAACTACATATCTGCAACCTACCCCAGTATCTAGGGTGTTCAGGATTATGCGATCGCATAATATGCACATAATCTATCATCAAGCAGTCTGGTCATGTGACTCAAATATGATTGGTAGATTTGATTTTAAATATGTCAATGAGAACAATAAGATCAATAAAGTGATTTTCATAGTCTTTTTTTATAAAACGGTTATAAATGTTTTTCTCAATTCTGTCTTGTTAATAAAAAAACCCGAACGTTTAATTAAGAAATATAAAGCAATATGGTTACTAGAGGTTGGAACCGGTTTTAATAATTCGGGTTTATCACACGAATTTTGTGATATTTTAGAATTTATTAAAATTTAATTGGATAAATTTCCAAAATATCACAAAATTCATGTGATAATCCCGAATTATTAAAACCGGTTCCAACTTCTAATGGTTACAGCCACAGAATGACATTATAGAAATCCCTCGTATAAAGATGACTTTTATGAAAAAAAATTTCGTAATAGATGAACATTTGACATCTTCTACTCATGAATCAAAAAAAAAAAACTCTGCAATCAACGTTAATAAGCTTTATGATGAAATTGCATTAGTATATATTTGGTTACTGGTTTCGGGAGTAGGAGTTGAATGTAATCTTATAAGCGAATTTTAGCAGTTAATAGGCATGCTTTGTCAAAAAATTCAATTAGAATTGTTGAATTTTTTAAATTTTAATAAAAAATCTTTTCAAAGGTTTAAAAATCGTATCCTCTATTTTAATTTTAAATTTCATTGCATAATTGACCTCGATCATTCCACAGACACGTGATTTTTTTGTGGCGCAAACCAATCATATTTCAATATCAGGTGTAACGTAGCACGATCAGGAAAATGGCATAAAAATCTGCATAAGAACCATCTTTAATGTTTAATAAAAAGTTTTCCTTGGACGATTTTACTAATATATGCTCTATATAGTAAGCACTAACCCTAGCTTAAACGAACTTAAGATTTTTTCAGTATGTCAAAAATCACGTGTCCGTAGGATTTTGGTGCCAGGGACACGGAAATTTTTCAAAGAAAATTTTTTAATGTAAATTTTTTCAAATTTAGAAATTTTTTGGATAACAATTTTTATCATGTGATCATAGAATGATTGGCTGTTAATTGTTTTAAACATGTGATTTCCGCCGATTCTATTATAGTTTCGAAATTTTACCTAAATCGATCGAAATATTTACTTTTAATCGAAAGAATATTTTCGTGTCCCCGGATACTGGGGAAGACCATATCTGCATTCCTGATCACATGGCTGATTTGCATGATTCTCAGGGATGGGGAATACTATCAATTATCCATTTTATTCCAAAATCATCTTTTTAACCAATCGAAATTAAATTTTCAGTATCACATGATAAATAACGAGACTTGACTGGCTATAATTTATCATTTTATTTTATTCTATTCTTAATATTCACCGTTCTTGATGATTCGTATCAATACCGTATTGCTCAAAATAACGTCCCGAGGTGTAGGTTAAAATTTTGGCCGAACTAAGCTTAATTCGGGCCAAAATTTTAATTTGCGCCCCGGGACGTATTTCGAGACAGGTTAATGTAATAATGTAATGTATATGATTTACACTCATATGTAGTTATCTAAATCGTTAGTTGAAAAACTAACTAGTTGACAACTTTCCAACTAATCGATTTGGAAAATTTTGAAACAACTAATCGATTGAATTATCAACTAGTTAAATTCCGAGATATTCCGTCTATTCGGGTTTGCTTGTGTTGATTTCTTTAGTTTAATTGGCCAACCAACAAATTTAGTCACATGACAGGAAAAATCGATTAGTTGCAACTATAGTTAGCAACTGATAGATTGGAATAATTTTTACCAACTCGGAACACTACTTATATGGGAAAAAATTATTACACGACATTCATCTATGACGCGAGACAATTCCAAATGATACACCTTGTCATCATTTATCAATGCCTGCAAAGAAAGAGTATTAGTAAAATACACAACAGTCCAAAATAACAAACGACTACAATTACACTTCCCAAAAACGCTACGTGTAATGCAAAAAAAACATAAGCAATGCAGTTGAAAATCAGAAAAAACAAATCGATTAACACCGAATATAAACCTAGAAAAGAAGAATCATTAGTAACGTGTTCACAGATCAGCAAACCAACAAAAAAATAAAATTTACACCCAAGGGATACTTTAACAAGCTCAAAGATGCCCTAACTTAAAAAAAAAAGGTCGTTAGTAACACATCACAAGCCAGAAAACAAGAATGGATATATAAAATCATACTTCCTAAGACTTCCAAGACATACGCCCCACAATTTCCAAGAAAGTTCAAAGACGCCCTAGCAAACAAAAAAAACGTTAGTAATACATTCACAATTCGAATAAATGAAATCATACTTTCCTGAAATAGCCAAAATTAGAACTACATAGAGCTGGAAAAGCCCACTGACGACTTACGATGTGAACGACGCCAAAAACGACGGGTGAAAATTCCAATACCAGCGTTTCAACAATGACGATACAGCACCAACGGTTAAAGTAACAAATAAAACCTCCAATTAACGCAACGATAACCAAAAAATTGTTAATAAAAAAACTCATGGAAAAAAGTCATTAGACAAATATACAGTATGTCTATCCATAAATTTTATATGTCTAATGGCTAGAGTGTCTGGCCATAACATTATTATATATTATTTATAATACTGTATATACAGTATGAATATTATAAATATAATTTTTATACTATACTCAGTGGCATGCCCTTGCCACCATGCCAGACACCCTGTCTATTCGCAACTCAGGTGTTAACAGTTTGGTCAGCTTTAACTGATCGACATTAATTGGCCTAAACTATAACCCAATCCTTACCCTAATTGACACCTGAGGCAAGAATCAATCTGAAACATGTATATATGAAACAAATATTACTTATCGTTTTGTTACACAAAATATGTTCGAATAATTCAGGATGTTCAAAAACACCATCTTTATCAAGACAATACCCAAATTTTCTCCCTTCTCCCATATTATAAACAAACCTAGTTTGTCATTTTGCCCAGGTCAAGATAAGTCTATAATCAATCATCTGTATGAACATAGGTCAGTTCTATTGATAAAACAGACAAATATCAATTTCATTCCTTTGAAATACAAATTTTCGATAGGAATCACATGTTGGAAAGAAAAGGCATCTTCGTGCAGTTTCAATCTTAGCCACAGTAACATTCTTTTATATATAATTAAACGTTTGAGTAATGATAGAATTCATGAAAACTGCAAGTAAAAATTAACTTGAAAGCTGCCTTGCCGGAATAAACGTAAAAACTAGGAAAATCCCAAGCCCCAAAACCAGAACTCCGAGTGAATATTTGGCATGTGTCGGGATTATCGGCGATGGCCTTTGTACAAACTTAATTCGTGTGACACATGATGGAATGATGGAATGATAGAATGGATAATCAATAACGATAATATCTGCTCAACCCAAAAATGCTTACTCAATCTTTTTGTGTGGCAAGCACCAAAATAAATCCGCAACATTTGCCCTAATTAAATAAGGATTAAATTTACATAACCGAAATTTACAACTTACATAAACAATAAATCTAATGGGAACTTAAGTAAATAAAATAGATCCAAAGGCAGTGATATGAAATAGCCATTATAAATATAATTTTGTGGCGGTTCTTTATATAGGATAATTCTTAAGGGTAATGGGTACTATTTTAAAATTATATATAAACTTGATGGTAAATATTTTTTGTAATTTAAATTATAGAACTTTTTATTAATTAAATATATTTTAAGTTTCTAAGCAAATTTGTAAAGTAGGTTTTTGTGATTCCAATAGTAATAATTTCATTAAAATTAGTTAAATCTCATTATCAAAATTTATATAATATTTTTCTATAAAGTTTATTATATAGAACTACGGAAATCAACCAATCAAAATAGATTATTTTGTACTATCTAGGCAAATTTTATAAACTTTAAAGTTTTATAAAAAGGTATACAGATTTTTATTAAATTTTTTAAAAGTTTTATTATAAGCATTTGCTCATTTTTTTGCTAAAAATATAACTTACCATGTAGATCATATAGAAAATGATCTACTATACCCACTACCCTTAAAGTAAACTCTATAATTCTTTGATATATCCTTTAGTCAAAGCGTACTTTTTTCTTGAAAGAGGAATTGCTTTAGCCGTTAGTTTAATTAATACCGATTTTATTGAAGTAAGTTGTCCAAAAGACTTGCGATAACCTACATATATTGTTGAGTAAAAAAAGTAAAAAAGTAATCAATACTTAAATATATGTAAAATAAATATATGTATATCTACAGTATATATTTTATTGAGATATATATATATACTGATTTCCAAGTACGTACCTGGTCGAAAAATTGGCATTGAATTCAATGGAATGTGTAAGCACTTTTAATTTGTGGAATTTAACCAACATGTTAAAAGGCACATACGAAAGTAAGAAATCTATAGCATCGATGATTTAGATAATCGGCATGCCAATTATCATGTGATGCTGATTTTTTTTTAAACCTTAGATTAACATTAAGAGAATATCCGACTGTTTCGGGGCCTTTTTTTCATGCAACTCCTAATGACAGATGGGGTAATGCCGCCCTTTCTACTATAAACTGCTCCAGATTTGGGGCCGAGGTAACAGTGATAGTATATCAATGACTTAATCCAATCCGGAGAAACGGCCCGAAACATGTCATACAAGGAAGGCTTTTTATCCTGTGTATTTATGGTCCCCGAACGGCACTGCCCGTTGGGACTTTTCTGTTCTCACACTTTTTTTTTTTTTGCGGTCGTCTTCGCTAAGAACAAAAATACATAAAATAGATAAAATTATATAGACGTGGGCTGGAATACCACGAAGCATAGTACAGCCTATAACTTTTTTTTATCCTTTAAGAAAAGTACAATACTAAATAAACATATAAAAAAGTCCTTTTCAAAAAAAAAAAAAAAAAAAAAAAATGCCACAACCTTTAACAATTTTGCGCCCGACCATAGCCGACGTGGTTAATGATGCACAACTTCTCAAGGCAGTTGAAATTTTAAAAGAAAAAACGTCGACTTCAGCCTCCTCATTAGCGAGTGTGTTGAACGTCGTTAAATACGTTCTTGGCAAACCATATTTCCCTGAAACCTTATTTGGAAACAAAAAAACCGTTGCTTTTGATATTAAAGGTCAAAGTTACGTAGTCAAATTTGTGTCTTGTAATAAAGGACCTTCCGAAGCAAGTGCAACCCCTACGGATGGTGACAACACACGACTCGGAAATAACGGGTCAAACAGTCACTCTTCGCACGCCTCTCAGTCGTCGTCCTCACCACAACTCTTACAACCTACCATCGCTGACATCCTTAGCGATTCCAAATTTCTTAGACTTATAGATCTTCTTCAACAAAAAACCGAAGAATCTCCACTCAAATTAGCAAGTTTACTATGTATCATAAAGGCAGTTCTTGATGACGTTGGATTAAAAGGCCGATTATTCCAAAATAAAATAAAGTTTTTCCACAATTCGCGAGAGTACATGATAGAGTTTCATGATCATGATTCGGAACGTATAATTAACGACGCGAATGGTAATTTTAATTCTCAAGAAACCAATGCATTCAAGACAGAACATCACGATGATGATGACGATATGATGGACGAATTGGAAAAAGACGAAATTGAAAATGTTCCACATGAAAACGAAGTGTGGCGCGCTCATATGCCTTCAACTTCCAAAAGAAAGCGCAGTGGCGACAGTCCCAATTCCGATGAAGATCATTGTACACAGCCAAATCCCTCCGTCAAAAGACGATCAACGGATAAACATAAGGCGCCACCTCTCAGTAAGCTGACATTATAATATATTGTTTATTAAAATATATAATAATCAACAAAGAAATTCTTTATTCATTGTCATATAGGTTGTGAAGCTGTTAAACGTCTTTTCACAGGTATCACCAAAGCAACTCTCATTCAGAGACTTGAAGAATCGAAAGCTTTAATTTCAGCCATCAAAGAAAGCTATGCCAATATCCGTGCACCTGCTCAATCTACAAATTTAGCATCATCATCACGCTTAAACCTTTTGTGTCATCTTCTTCAATCACCACCAACATCTCGAATTGATGGAATTTCTTCTAAAGTTTTCTCAAACTTGGAGCTTTATAAATTATTCACCACCTACAATTCTTACAAAGAGGAAGTCGCTCAAAACAACCATATTGATCCGTTAAACTCACCAAATAAACGCAGCCATACTTCGCCTTCTTCAGATCCATCGTCACCTATTACTTTTCCTACTTATTCTTCATTTATCGACCCAACGGTTACCTTACACATCAAAGAACAAACTGGTGGTAAAGAAGTTGGAAAGCACCGCTTGAATTGTGCATGGAGACTTAGCATACTATGTGAGTTACTAGGTAAAGGTGTATTATTGATGACTAAAGAATTGAGCGGAGCTAAATTGGAACGAATTCTTGTTGAAGAATTTACCAAATTAGTAGAATTCTTGAAGAACTCGGATAATCATGATTGGGTTGCTAATGTTAGAGAGAAAATGGAGTTGGCAGGATTTGATGAGGTTTACGCGCCATTAGCTGAAGCAGACATAGACAACAGTTCTAATAACCCCGGAACTGTTTCAGATACCGTTGGAATTAGCAACGATAATCATATGGAAATGCAACAAACGATGAAACCTAACCTTGGAATCATCACATTCGCAGTCGATCACAACATTACACAAAATGTGATCGATCCAAGATTGACTATCCCGGAAGAGGAACTAATGAATCATGGACATCACTACTCAGAAGTTGACTCGAAAAACGATCCTCTTGTCATGAGGGCTCCAGGAAGTGTGCGCCCGATCTCATATATCAAACGTGATATGAGAACAGAAAGTCAAAAATATTAAAAACTTGGCTGGTAATATTGCTTAATATTAGCAAATCAATTTTCGTGTAGAAATTAGTTCGTAAGATTTGTTTTTGTTTCAATTCACAGTAGAATGATTTAGCATCTTCAAATCTGTATATACATTAGTCTGCATGCCAGAGATTATTTTAGGTTTGGCTTTACTTTATTTTACCTTTTACCTTTTTCTTGGTGGGATGGGGAATATATCTTGAAATTGCAGCACTTTATGTAAAAGATGAAGTTAACTGTATATTTTTTTTTTTATACATATTATAAATCGTAAGCGCCTTTAGGCATTTTTTTTTACATTTGTTTTTTTCTTCCAAAAAAAAAAAAAAAAAAAACACAAAAAAACAAAAAAAAAAGAAAAACATCCGTTTAACGAAACTCTTCAACAGTATTTCTGTTAAAAAATTTAACGTATAACTATGCAATCAACTCAAATTATGATAAATTTATTGTCTTTTTTTTTTTTTATTATTATTCTTTTTTTTTCTTTTGCTTTCTATTACTAAATTCAAATTTTTGTTAATGTTAATATTTACTTATACTGTTAATTCATACGTTTGATTAATTAAAATTTGGGAACAATCGAGGTTTAAAATTTAGGGATTATTGCAATCGTAAAAATCATTACGTTCATAGAATAATTTTCACGATTCGTTTATTATAATGATTAGTTTTTAAACCTAAAATAGAAGAATATTACAATAGATTATGTGATCATTACCCTAATATCAATCAATGCTAAAATTAAATAGATAAGAATTGATCTAAAGTTCCGATAGTGCGTATAATCGGACTATAATCCTTGGCATTTCCGTTCGACAACTTTCCAACCTCATAAACTGCCCATGTGTTATCAGCTGTATTTTTACCAACGCAACACATTATAACCGCTTGTGATTGGTTGGCCGTTTTAATTGTATAATTACATAAATTTATGTTAGGTGTAGTTGAATCATACATTTTGAAACTTGGGTTAGGAAAGTGACCAATATTTGGCGAATTCCATGCAGACAAAATAAAATACAATTTTGTAATATCGGGGGGAAGTTCCGAAAGATTTGCCGTTATGCGATGATGACCTTTTTGAGAAATATAATTTTAATTATAAAATAACGTGTCTTATATTATAAATATAAATTATATGCATTCACTTACCTCTTCGATTGACATGATCCATAACGTCTCCGGAATGTCCCATATTTGGAATATCCAAATAATTGGTGGATTGATAGTCGAAATTTCTCCAACGCACATTCTTGGCGTAAAGCATACACGTGCCATCAAGGTAATCACATCCACCGGATGGATAACCCCAATACAGGTCGAATGTTAAATTTTGAATAGAAAGCTCTTTGGAAATTGAACAAAGGAGCACTATGAGTTGAATGTGACTGTCGGCGACTATGCCATATTCACTTAGATACCTATGTGCTCTTCCTGTATTAAAAGTCTAGAATCAAAAAGTTTTATGAATTTGTCATTTACAATACGTGATGTAAAAAAATCAATATTAATAATACAAACATTTAATTCTTTGCCGTTATGAATCAACTTTTGTTTTGAAACTTCAACATTCGTTTTGCTTTTTATTGCTTCCCTCAAACTAAGAACTGTTTTAATACTCTCAAGTTGAAACGTAAGTTTTTCTCCATTTAATAAAACAACATAGAAATCTCCTGTTGCAGCTCCTACATTTGCATTAACTTCATTTGGTTCGCCGTTGCTTGAACTTGTAATTTGAGAAATATTTTCAATATCGATTCTGAACGAAGCTTTTTCCCAGGAATCAGTTAAATCACGGATTTCTTTTTGTGACAGTGAAGCCGAGCATTCTGGACATGTGCTCACGGGTTGAAATTCTAAATGTTTTACTATGCACTGTAAAAAAAATATTTAGGATATTTATGTTTCGAATTATTAGAGTTGTTAAACTAACTTACCTTCAAACAATAAGTTGAAACATGATAACATTTCTGACTTATGGTGTCTGAAGGAAACTCTCGAGATAATTTATCGTGTAAACATTTTGAACATTTCATTTTGATATATTATACAAAGATTAAAAGTATTGTTTTCTCGCGGAGACAATAACATATTTATCCGAAATTTGTATTTGGTATCGCGTATCACGTGCAAGTTTTTTTAAATAATGCAGTGTGTGACTTTAGAGATTTAAATTTAAATTCCAAGTTTCGCTTATGTTAGGGGTAGTGCTCGAATTAGGCTAGTAGATATATAGTTATATTTGTTCACGAAAAACTTTTGTATTATTTTCTGTTTCCTAAAAACCGAAAACGATTTTCCCGGCATCGTCAAAATTTCGCTGTCAAAAAATCTTAAAGCTCACAAATGAGTGCAGTTGATTTGATGTAGCCGATAAAGTTGGCTTATTCGACTAAGCCAATATTTTAAACCATTGTCATTTACTTTGATTAGTTGGTTAAAAATATAGTTCTTATACCAACTTTGCAAAATTGGAATTCAAACATACAGTTAACTCTGAAAAAAAGATGATTTTCGGATTCTTGTTAATGTTAAATAATTATTACAATATTAAAGGGAAATGTTAATTAGAATATATAGGCAAAGTTACAATATAAATGTAAATATCAGAAAAACTTAATAAACTATAAAATACAAATCTTATATATATTAATGTTGTTATCGTCACTCTATTTTTACCTTTAAATAACCTAAATGGCCTAATGACTAGGTCATTTGTTATTGTCATTTGATCGTTTTAACTTTAATGACAAATAACTTATTTGTAAATTATTTTATAATATTGCAATATCTAATTGGTTAATAAAAATATAACAAACAAGAATTCTTAAATACTTAATATTAAATCTTTATAATTTATGTTTTGGATTTTTTTTTTTTTAATATTAAGTACTTGCAATCCAGAATTTTATTAATAGTATGTTTTAGCTTTGTGATTGTATTACAACAGTTACAAAAGACAATTATAAGAAGACTATATAACTAGTCATTTGTACAACTTTAGTTATTGTTTAACTTAAGTAGTTTGTTCAAAGGTTCTATACTAGCTATCATACCTAGAACCTACCTATAAGTTCTTTATTTAAATACTAGTTCTTGTATTTACCTATCTATATATCTATTCTACTAATTATTTCAGTTTTTACTAATACAAATAAGTTATAATCATTAAGTTTTTAAAGCAGTTTATTTATATAAAAAAACTTTTAATTTTATATTAAACTTATTAAAGTTTTTTGTTATTATAATTTTTAACTAATCTGATATTATATTATAGTTAAAACCAATATATACAAAAAAGGGTTACATGCTGGCAAACATGTAAATCAAAGGTGTATGGTTATGACCTACCTTTCTGAGCTATCTGGTTTGGGAGCTTGGTAGAACTTAAATTGAATATCAAAGTAGTAGGAATATGTTGTGAAGTTAGTACCAGGATTGGGTGAACTCTACAAGAGTATAGCAGTTTAATGATCAGTCCTGACTGTAAGTGTTGGTTCTACTATAGTAATATCTAAGTTAGCTGTAAAAATAAGTATAGAAAGCTCTGAGAATTTACCTCGAGGATAAATTAGTCCTAAGATTAAAATGATGATCTAGATGTCTGGATATGACCTAGTGAATTAATACAGTTTACAAATTCAAAGAGTTTAAAGTAAAACATTCAAGCAGAGATGTTAAGTATAACAATTAATAGGGAACCTTCAGGTGAACTCCTTAAATAGGTAATATAGAAAAGTTACATATGTAGCCAATTGTACACTTTTCTGTAGTAGTTCATTGAATTACAATACTGATAAGTGATTAATAAAAGTCAAAAGACCAAAAAGATCATCTTAATACCAAAAAAAAAAATTATTATTATTATTATTTTATAATTCTAATTGTATTATGACTAATTTTAGAATATATAATAATATATAAATAAATTTAAAAAATATAAACTATAATAAGAAGTTAAATATTAGCAACTTGAATAGAGTATTTGAAATGATAACTTTATAATTTTAGTTGTACTAAGACTAATTTTAGAATATATATATTATACAAATAAATGTAAAATTTATATACTAAATAAGAAATCCTGCTTAAAAATCTTAAATAGAAAAGTAATATAATTTTTTATAATATTACTTATAAAAATCTTGATCTGAAGAAAAAAACTAAAATTGATAACTTGTATGAGTAAAAATCTTTAGATAAAAAAGACTTAATAATTTAACTAATTGGTTAATCTAAGTATAAAGTTATATTATATATAACTAACTAGATTAGTATTATAAGAGATCTTATAAGATACTGGTAAAATTGTAAAAAAAAATACTAAGATTATATAAATATTACAAAGATATAACAATTTAATGATTAATTCTACTTGCGAGTATATATTGGGGGGTTTTTTTTTTTTTAAATATTAAGATGAGTACTTGCAACACAGGATTTTATTGATAGTATATTCAGCTAATGGTTGCATTATAACTACAGGGGGCAATCATGAAAAGAATGTACAACTAGTTACTTGTACAACTTTAGTCATTGTCTAATTTAAATAGTCTACCTGAAGGTTCTATACTAGTTACTATACCTAGAACCTGCTTATAGGTTCCTTATTTAACCACTCTGTTCCTATATCCACCCATCTACCTACACTTACCAAGATGCTCTGGTCGATATCGGTTCAAATATGCCATGGTCACTACGTCTTTAAAGTGGTTCACTTATATAAGG